AAGCATATGTGAGGTGAAGCTTCACCATCCTTGACTCTAAGTAGCACTTTGACTGCTCCAAGACATTGTTGTTCTTTTGGCAGTTCATGGAATATGTGGCACTCTTCTCTAACACCGCAGTTCAAATGCATCGATTCTTATTCTGTCATTTTTCATTGTCTACCTCTCAGATGCATCGCAGATGATTGGAAAGACTGTGGCTTGAGTCAGGCACTCACCTCAGTTTTAGATATCATTAGATATCAGTTTAGATATTATTAATCTCCAGGTCTTTGGAAAGATCCCTGACAGCAGACTTTCCCAATGCTATACATCTCCTTATCTCCTTATTGCTGGTACAAAGGATATAGATTGTGGATCCAAGGAAGATCAAATAATTGACAATTTCAATAATTTCTTCTTGGCACCAGCAGCCAGGAAATTAAAAGAAATATTGCAATGGGAAAGTCTGCTGTTAGGGACATCTCCAAAGTACTCAAGAGCAATGGTGCCACTCTGGAGACCAAGGTGTGCCTGATATAGGCCATGGTCTTTGCAATCACTTGCTATGCATCAGAGAGCTGGACAATGACTAGGGAAGATAGAAGGGAGTTAATGCCTTTGAGCTGTGGTGCTGGAGAAGAGTATTGAATGTACCATGGACTGCTAGGAAAACAAATAGATTTGTCCTGGAGAGGGTTAAACCAGGCTGCTCCTTGGAGGCAAGGATTCTGAGGCTTTGTCTGGCATACTTTGGACATGTTGCAAGGAGGGACTGGCCCTTGGAGAAGGACGTCATGCTTGGGAGGGTGGAGGGACAGCACAGGAGGGGAAGACGCTCTATGAGGTGGATTGATTCAGTGACTGGGGTAATCGGGGTGGGTGTGTCTGAGACAGTAAGATTGGCACAGGACAGAGCAGGTTTTAGGGCTGTTGTAAGTAGGGTAGCTATGAGTCGTAAGGGACACAACGGCACACAACAACAACAATCATGATGTTGCTATCATGATAACACAGTAGTGAAGACTTTTGTTTTCTTGATATTGAAATATATTTCACATTGAAGGCTTCAGTCTTTGTTCTTCTGCAGCAAGTGCTTGAGGTCGGATGGTCCCATGCGAACCCCAATATCTTTCCAGAGATCTCACATGGATTCTCAACATTTCTCCTGTAAGCTCCATGCTTGATAACTTCCATAGGTCTTTTCCATTCATCATCTCATTGACTTTTCCTCACAGCTCTATAACTCTGCCATGACTTGTGCCATTAAGTGGATAGCAGTGAGTGTTTGCTAGTATGTGGATAAACCAGGGACAGAGCCAACAGCAGAACCCAGTTGTCCTGACTTACAGACCAGGGCTCTTCCCTCCAGCCTTGTCAGCTGGCAGCTGAGTTTGCTTTCTGCTCATCCCTCACAGTCTCTGAGACTCCTTCCCTCTCTAAACTTGTACTTGTCTGTCTTTCTTCACCCCACCCCCTTTCTTTCACAGCTGTGGGAGTAAGGCTCCACTCTTGGCAGGCTGAAGCCAGACAATGAGCCCTTATTCTGGGCAAAGAATTCCTGCAGTGTCTCCCACCCACTAGGCCTCTTTCCAAGCCCAGATTGTTGGGGGTGGAGTAGGGCACCGTGGAGGGCAGGAGCCATTGGTGGGCAGGACAGAGTAGCTCTGACTGTGGAGATCCCAGAGGCAGATTGCTATGTAAACAAATATCACTCCCAGCAAAAGCCTGATTTCTGCCCCAGCCACAGCTCTCATAGTGAATCCCTCTCAACACTTCATTCTTCTGGATTTTTAACATTTGCCCTGATTTTTGTTCTCCTTATATACTTAGATCTGTATATTATTCTCTTTCTTCTTCCCCCATCCCTGTATCCCTTTCTAAGCCTTTCTATTATTTTGTGTTGCTTCTCTATCCCTGTTGCTCATCTCTTCCTCACGTCATCCATTAGACTGGTGGTGCAATGTTTAAGGCACTCAGCTGCTAACCAAAAGCTCAACAATTCAAACCCACCAGAAGTTCTGTGGATAATATAAGACAGTCTGCCTCTATAAAGATTTACACCCTTGGAAACCCTACAGGGCAATTCAAATCACTATGTGCTGGAATTGACTCAATGCATTTTGTTTGCATTCTTTTTTGGTTTCTCACTTCATCATGTTCTCTATTCTTTTTCTTTTCCCCATCCTTTGTACAAGTCTTGATCTTTCTATACCTCTATATCTTCGTCCATGTTTCTCTATTCGTGGTCCTGCTCTGTTGTCTATGTAATTTACCTATGGATCTATGTCTCTCTCTGTTTCACCTCTGTCTCTCCATGCCTTGTCTTTCATCTGTGGTCTCTTCTCTCTCTCATCTGTGGATAGCCTGTGGATCATTTAGCTGTAGTTGTTATGTACTATGGAGTTGTAGTTGACTTAGAGGCAGTAAATCTCACGGGAGATGGCCCATCTTTTTCCCATGGAGCAGCTGGTAAATAGAACCACATGTCGTTGGATTGGCAGAACAACTTCATTCATACCCATTAGGCCTCATATCAGGGTCTTCTGCTCACAACAATCTTTCTCACTCCTTTCTCGGACGTCTCTTGGACCTCTGGTTTCAGCATAAGGATTATTCTCCTCAGTATATAGATGTGGACGCTGAATATCTTTCTTGCAGACTCTTGCCAAGCTCAGGTCCAGGAACCAGCACCTTGGACAGTTCCTTAAAGGTGTGGGGGCCGTGGGTCCTGCCTTCTCGCGAGCTCAAGAGGAGAGGTCCTAGGGGAGGAGAAGCAGTCTCGCGAGAACGGCTGCTGCAGCTTGCAGCGGCGCGGGCGCGAGAGGTGGCAGCTTGAGGCGGGCGCGCGCGCGCTCTCCGCTCCCCAGCCCCCGAGCGGCTCGCGGCCGGCTCCGCGCCGCATCGTCCAGTGCATCGCAGCTCAGTGCAAGCGCGGCGGCCTTTTGGCAGCCGAGCGGCCAAGGCAGGTGAGTCCTAGGCCTGGGGTACCGGAGGATGGTTTTGCAGGGAAGCTGGTTTCGGGACTAGAGGGGATCGCTGGCTCCAGTTCTGCGTCTTTACGCTTTACCTTTGGATGCAGGGGCCCGGCCCGAGCTGCTGGAGAGGTGGGAGAGTCGAGGTGACCTTTCTTTACTGGGGCGGAGAAGGATTAATTACTCGCTGTGCCCCCAGACTCCCATCACTGGCTCCTAGGAGAGAACTAGGGGCTTGGGTGACGTCAGACCTCTGAATTCTGGAGCTTGGGCCTCGGGCTCTCCATTCTTTTCAGCCCCACTTGGCATTCCCAGGAAACAGATCTCCTGCTCCTAGGGATGGCGCAAGCGGCAACGGATGGGAGTGAATGGAGAGGGGGTGGGTGGGGCTGTGACTGCCCTTGGCTCCTTCCCCACAAGAAACGTCTGCAGACAGACCCTGGTTTTATTTTATTTCAGAGTGACTGACCTTTGAACGCTGGATAAGAGCCACCTCAGGCTCTTGCGGGCGGGGAGGGGGACGAGAATGGGTTAATTGGCCTTGAACCTGGCCTCCACCAGGGCTTTGGGGTGGTGTATTGGGGGCGCCAGAGGGAGCTCATTCCAGCACAGGCAGGAGTCAGTCATGATGAATGTGAGGTGTTTGGGAGCGCCTGCCCCTGCTTCTGGTCTGGGGGTTGGGAGAACTGAGACTCCGGATGAGTGCTCGCCATCTCAGGCGCTTCAAACCAGTAATGCTCCAGCTGCCTGATGGGAGTTCCAATAGACAGAAAAAAAGACGATAAGAACCAAATATAAGGCTTTCTGGAGAAGAGGATATTGGATGGGAGAACAGTCTAGAGAGGGTATTGTATTAGTAGAGGCAAAAGTATAGAAATGGGTATGAAATACAGCCATTGAGGAGCCATGTCTGTGAGCCCAATCATGTGACTGTGCCTAGGTAGAGGTGTGGAAAATTTTGAACTTGTGCCCTACCTGTTCTGCTCCCATGGTGCATCTAGTGCCCTTTGATCTGAAAGCGAAGATGGTTCTTATAAGGGCTTGATTGGCAGAGAAACTATTGTCTGGGGTTATGTAGATCTTTCTAGTGCAGGGCTAGCAACTGGGGCTGGGTGATGCTGGGGGTAAAGCCTCCAGAGCTTAGAGAAAAAGTGTGTGTGTGTGTGTGTGTGTGTGTGTGTGCGCGCGCGCGCGCGCGCCCCCCCGCGCCCCAGAGAAGAGGGTCTTAGTTCTAGTAAACCCCACAGAGAGTTAGTGGAGGGATGTGCCCGGAAGCCAGGCCTTGGGCTGCTTCTTTAACCCTTTCTCTCTTTGGCCATTTCCAAAAAAGTTGCTTCCTGTCGCTGGGCACCTCTGCCAACACTGTCCTCTAGGGATGAAATAATAGGTCTAAGTACTCATCTCCCTGAGGAAGCTACTTGTTCTAGTTTTGAGCCTCCTTCCAGATCTTCTTCCTTTCCCATTCCTCCTCCCTTCTCCCTACCTGCCCCATCTCCCCACAGCATTTCCCCTACAGGTTGCGCTTCCTTTTCTGCTCCCAGGCTAGAGCCACTGATGATTTTATGAAAGAAGTTATGTGGCTGGATTGAAGCATGCCCTGGGTTTAGCCTGATTGAGGCAAGGTGATAGTCCTTCCATTTCTCAATTTGGGGAATATGCCCCAATCTTAACAACATGGATTGACTGATACCCGGGTGCGAGGGGATGAGGAAGAGATGGAATGAGAATGAGCAAGCATTTTAGTGCCCAATCACTGGCTCAGGATTAAAGCAGTGGAATGTAAAGCAGTGATCTCAGAAAAGGCTTCCCAGGTGGAGTGTGAGGAAATTATGGGGCTTAGAGGAGCTGAAAGGACTGCCCATTTGTGGGCACTGGAAGAGAGTGTAGCTAGACATGAAGCTGGGTTGCGTAGGAAGACGGCCTATGAGCAGGTGGTTTGTAGCTGATTGGTACAAAGCCTTGAATGCCATTCCAGACACAGGAGCTGTAGGGGGCTGCTGAAGAGTCATCAGCAAAATGGTAATAATATGGCCAGGAGACTGCTGTTTTCTGGGGATAATTCATAGTTCTGGGTCTTAAGAGATGCAAGTGTGAGGCTGCCCCCCCCTCCAGTAGAGCAGGAGGGGGAAACCATACATCAAAAGGAGGAAGACAACGTGCACATCTGTACCAAGAAGAGTGCATTCTTGGTTAGAAGAGGGAGGACTTGGTGAGCATGGAGCCTAAGAACTTGTCCCACATCTCTGGTCTTATGTGAGGCCAAGCTTGGCTTTCTTCTCTTTGCTGGGCATCTACCTCACTTTCCCACTATGGGAGCTGTCTTCATTGCCTCATAAGAAATAGGAGAAATTGCAGTTTGAGTGTCTGAAACAAAATGCAAGAGATATTTATTTTGTTGTTAAGTAGGAGATAATGTCCTTAAGTCTGCACCTTTGTGGGCAGATATAGGGGCCCCTCCACATTATGAAAAACTTTTAATTGAGAAGTAAATTGCTACTTCTCTGTTTTTGCAAAATCTAAAAACTTTGGTTTGCAGAGCCCAGTTATTACCCCAGATGTACATACACACATCCAAACACATACACGTATATACACAAATAAGATGACTAGCCTTAAAATAAAGAAAGAGCCTAGGGTTTTCCATCTTCTATCCCTAGCCTCTTGTAACTCTCCCAAACACCTCATATATATTTCTCTTTCTCTCTCTCTCTCTCTATATATATGTATTTTTTTTTCTGTCTCTCTCTCTCTCCCCTATATATACACACACACACACACACACACACACACACACACACACACACTATATATATACATACACACTATATATATACACACACACTATATATACATACATACACACTATATATACATATACATACACACTATATATACTATATATATACTCTCTCTCTATATATATATAAATGGGGCAGTCTTGCCCCGCGTCCTAGTTCTGAATTCTGGCTTCTGCAGTGAGTCATTCATACTTTGCTACACTGATTTATCTTTAATATAAACTCTCTGTTCACCTTTTGGAAACATGTGGGCAAGATTAAGGCTTAGGCTGGAGCCAGGGTTAGGAAGGAACTTCTTTCTTTGAAGCTTCTACATTCTGGTTATTAATCTCCTCCCTTCTCTCTTGTTTTCCTGAAGGATTTTAGTGCTGGTTTACTGCCTGCCATTCATTGTCTTGTTACATGGGAGACAATGCCTCCTTCAGCTGCCCTTTCAACCAGCCTCACCTGAACTGGCCATCATAGGCGTGTGGCTACCTGAAAGTGTACATTCCAAGATCCTTCTCTGATCAAAATTTAATTTCTACATTTCCTGCTTTTTGACCTCTGGGAGACCTTTAGTTCTTGGAAACTTTCATTTTCTCTATCCTTTTCTATACCTTCCCAGTCTCTCTTTTTTTTAACTCCATGGTCCAGGAAACCATTCTCTCTCATCTGTGCACTAAATTTACGGCCTTACTACTTTACCTGTGCATCCCACTGCAGCAGCAGACCTCCCCCATCCCCTGAATTCTGTATTTGGAGTATAAAAAACTTCTGGAGACCATCAGATAACCAGGACAGTCTAATATTTCCATGTGGGGCTCTAACCTCGGCTCTCTCTCTGTCACTTCTAGAAACCTTTGCTCATGTGCCCCCTCAGCTTCCCATTTTAGCCCATAGCAGGAGCATTCTGAAATGGACCACTTTCCCAAAGTCTTTTCCTCATCTAGAGGGTGGTGGTTGACTGTGTGGGGAAGCAGAACTATACCCCAGTTTACCCATCACTCTCACATTCCAGTAAAGAAGTATTCCTATTCTATTGTCCTCGGCTACATGCTGCAGATGCCTACCCTTTCTGTTTCCTGAGGTACCCCTGACTATCAGTTATTTCTTCATCTCCTATATATGCAACTTCTCTATTATAGCAGCAAATATCTTTCCCCTAGTGATTAAAAAGGAGGTGATGTGGTGGGTTGGGCGTTGGGCTCCTTACCAAAAGTTGACAGTTTAAACCCAACATCTGTTCTCTGGCAGAGAAATGTGGCAGTCTGTTGTTGTTAGGTGCTGTCAAGTTCAGTATGACTCATAGTGGCCCTTTGAACTACAGATCTGAACTCTGTCCTGTCCTGTGCCATATTATTTCAGACATACTTGAGCCCGTGGCGGCAGTCACAATGTCATTCCATTTGTTTGAGGGTCTTCCTTTCTTTCGCTGACCCTCCACCTTTCCAAGCATGATGTTTGTCCCTCTTCAATGAATAGCTTCTAACGACATGCCCAAAGTGTATGAGATGAAGCATTGTCATCTGTGTTTCCAAGGAGCACTCTGGCTCTGTTTTCTCTAGGATATATCTGTTTGTCCTTTTGGAAGTCCATGGGATATTCAGTACTCTTCTTTAACGCAACTCAAAGGCATCAATTCTTCTGTCATCTTTGTTCATTGTCCAGCTCTCACATACATTGTTGTTGTTATTATGTCCCATCAAGTCACTTGCAACTCATAGCGACCATATGTACAACAGCCCTAAAACCTGCTCTGTCCTGTGCCAGTCGCACTGTCTCCAATACACCCATCCCAATTACCTCAGTCACTGAATCAATCCACCTTATAGAGGGTCTTCCCCTCTTGTGCCATCCCTCCACCCTCCCAAGCATGATATCCCTCTCTAAGGACCAGTGCCTCCTTACAACATGTCCAAAGTATGTCAGACGAAGCCTAAAAATCCTTGCCTCCAAGGAGCCCCCCCAGTTTAACCCTCTCCAGGATGAACCTGGCAAATGATTTAAAAGAACACAGCCTAAACGAAATGTATCTTAGTCCTCAAACTGACATCATTGCTCCTCAGTAACTTGTAGAAGCCCCTAACTGCAGATTTTCCCAATGCAATACATTTCCTGGTCTCTTGACTTGGTCTTTTGACAGATGTTTGTTGATTGTGGATCCAAGTAAGATGAAGTCCCTGACAGTTCTAATCATTTCTCCATCTATCATAA